CTGGACTACCTGCTTTCCTCCGGAAGCAGAAGGAGCGAAAGGGGCACTTTCCATGCCAGATGTGGAGGTGGGGAACTAGCTGGCAGCTGCTGTCATCCACATTCTCCCAACCTGGGGAGGGGACAGAGAGTGGAGGGCCTCAGAGAGCAGGGCCTTCCACAGTGTTTAAGGAAAACTGCTCTGCAGCAGGCACCATGCAGGGTGCTGTGGCAAGGGACCAGGAGGGAGCAAAGTCAAGAGGGGCGTCTCAAGTGAGTGGGAGCCCCAGACCCTGGGCAGGGGACCCTTCCACCACACACAGCACACAGACCCCTCCCCCTTGTACCCTTTCCCCCAATCTGTCACCTTCTCATCTGCTACCCCCAGAAGCAACCATGGTTGTGTGCCCATACAAATGCCCTAGGTCCCAGGGGCAATTCCCAAAGCCCGTGCCACACAGGAAAGAGAGCCCAAGCAGAGCAGACTGGGACTGCTCCTCCACACCAGCTCCACCCAAGTGAAATAAAAACCTCCCCCTCCCTCCCGGGGGTGCCATGCCTCTCCTCCCCTCCTCCCCCCCGCATCACCCTGTCCTCCCATGGAGTGATCAGGGCTGAGTGAGCCACAGAGGGAGGAAGTGGGCAGAGCCTGGGGGCTCCTGGAGGCAACAGAAGCCAGAGGGGCCCCCTTGGAGTCTGCCCGAGAGTCTCTGAAAGGACTCTGAGGCTCCCAGATGTCCCCCCCCCCCGGGGGAGGCCCAGACCCCTCCCTCTAGTGAGGCTCCCTCTTTCCCTGTCCCCAGCCTCCCTCACCCTCAGAGATGTACTTGAGCTTTAGATACTGGTCCCCTCGGGCCCCAGTGAAGTCGAAGAGCTGGCAGGGCCCACGCAGGCGCCCGCCGTGGGGCTGCTCGTTGGTAATTGCCCACTGCAGGGCGCAGGGCGTGTTGTTGAGGAAGTAGACACGCAGCTGCAGGTGGGTCTGCCCTGGCGCCAGTGGGGAGCAGAACACCGCCAGCTGCAGCCACTTGCGAGCTTCATGGCCCACGGGTGCCTCCAGCACACAGGTGTAGAGGCTGCAGAGTAGATGGAGATGGTGGCAGGGACCGGGTGGAGTGGACCCTGGGACACCAGCGCATAGGCCACCCAGCTCCTGCTGTGCCAGAGGACTCCGCAGGAGCCTCCGAGGAGCTAAGGAGAGCAGGCCCGGGTGTGTATAGGGAGGAAGTGGGGGGTTTGGTAGGGGGACAAAACCTGAGTCACATGCAGTGACCATCACAGAGTGTAGAGAAGAGCCAGCAAATATCCTCGGCACAGGACAGTGGGAAGGCGGGCTCAGGGCCACCATGCTTTGGAAGGGCCCACTGATGGCCGGGCTGGCTCTGGTTAATGGGTGGCAAGGAGAATGAGAGGAAGAGAGCCTAGAAAGACAGAGCTAAGGGCGGACAAGAGATGGGATAGTGTCTTAGAGCACTAGAGGGGACAAACTGCCCTAGGCAGTTGGGACACAGTCCTGAGCAGGGGCATAGGACATAGATAGACAATCTTAGAGAGTCAGAGGTGGCCATGGGACGAGGCCCCTCCAGAAAGTGGGCTGGGGTTAAGTCAGGCCCTTCTAGACAGGCAAAGAGACCATGGGGGATGTACAGTCCTGGACAGGGTTGGAGTGGCACAAGCTGTCTAGACATTAGGACAGAGGGACCGAGAAGGGACATGGGGGAATAAGGGATTTGCAGGCCATCTGGGACAGATAAAGGGGCAGATCCACACAGAGAGAGGAGGACAGGGCAGACAGAAAAAGGGGGCAGAAAGGACAGGCCGATGGACTCGTGCCTACCTAAAGTGGGAGAGCTGGATGCGACACTCGTCCAGGGAGGTGTGGACCCCCGCCTGCCCAAGGGGCTTCCAGGCTTTGTCATCGAGCAGGTTCGTGTTGCTGCTGTAGGTGCGGGCATGGCTGGGCTGCTGGGCGCAGTGCTTGAAGGTGAGGGTGCAGGGCTTCAGGAAGGAGGCCCCATGGGGTCCACATGCCACCACGGGGCTCACCAGTGCCTGGTCTCGGGACAGTGGTGGGGCATCCGACAGGTCCCACACCAGGATCAGTGACACCCGCTCCTGGCGGCCCACAGCCACAGCACCTGGGGAAACGAGACGGAGAGCTGGGACGGGATGGGCCGGACAAGCAGGAGGAGCACCCCTGCCACGGGAGGCCAGGGCAGTGGGAGGGGAGGTGGAAGGGGAGACAGTGCCCACTCGGGAAGGCAGGACGGAGGGAGAGCAAGACGACCGTGAGCGGACGTGCGGTGTAATCCTGGGCGAGCCCCCCACCTCCTTTACAGGGCTGTCGCTAGCCCATGCAGGGAACTGTGTGAATTTGCGAAAAGAGCGCTCCCTCCACCTTATGTTCCTTTATCAGAGGATTGTCATGACATACTGTTCATTAGGACAAGGCACTTCACTTCCACCTACCAGGAAGTTGTCTTTGGAGTCAATAAAGTCATACTAAAAATGTAAGCAATTTTCAAAATTAGGAAGGTGTCTGTGAACGATGCTCCCTTCGATGTGGTGCCCGAACATCACACAGTCTGAACAACTACTCGCAGAGAGGCGAGCTGGGCGCTGTTACCTGGCGGGATGAGCAGAGAGATGCCCGTGTCCCTGAGTATCAGGCAGCCACCGCGGTGATCCACCTCTCGAGCCGAAAACACCAGCAGCTTGTGCATCAGCTGACGGGTGACAGTCTGGCCCTGGGTGGGCGTGTGCAGCTCCTGGTAGAAGGCGACCATCTCTGACATGATGACCGACGGGCACTGGTTTGGGGCCTCATATTCTGGTAGGGGAGTGGGATCAGGCACTGGCTGCTCCTGATTATCCAGCTTCCAGCAGGTCCGCAGCAGCCAGCGAGGACGGTGCCATCGAAGGCACTGGACCAGAAGGAGGACACTTGCCACGGGAACCCCCACCAGCAGCAGGAACTGGGCAGGTTGGAAGGAATTCTCATGGGAGCACATCTGCCTGGTCACTCGGTGCTGCCAGTTCCCCTGCAGCCCTGTAACAACCAAGGCCAAGGGCAGGGGTGATAAAGGGGCCAGTGCCAGGCTAAGCCTTTTCAGTGTTGTAGAGGCCAAGACTTGGCTTCCAAACGGCTGCAGTGAGAGAGCAAACTGTCTTTATTCCAGTGCACCTCAAACACCCCAGTCAGATCAGTGCCTTTAACAGAGCTTCGCCTCTCTCTCTCTTACCCAGGCCTACAGTAGCTCCTCCTGACCTAAACATCAAATTAAACTCCCCTGAGGCAGAAAGGGCTGGGGTTTAGAGCATGTGAGTTCAAGTGCCACCTTGGTCACTGGCTGAGTGAGTTTGTCTTATTGCTTAATGTGCCTCAGTTTCCTCACCTGTCAGTTTTCTCACTATAGAAAAAATCTTTAACAGAAAAGCAACTCACAGGAGCTAGACATCCCCTGATCTCATTCATGTAAATATCAAAACTATATACAAGTATGGATACATATTTATGGGTGTGTCTACAGGGGTGAGCAAAAGTAGGTTTACATAAGACAAATAAATAATGCAATAATAAATAAATAATACAGCAATGAACTCTTTTGTGTACTCACAGCTATAAACCTCCTTTTGCCAACCCTGGATATAAATTATAAAGAAAGGTCTGGAGCAGCACAGGACAATAAAAATATTATGTGTAACTTTCTAGCGGCCACAGTGAAAAAAAAAAAAAGTAAAAAGAAATGGGAGAAATTAATTTTAATAATATATTTTACCCAATATATTCAAAATAGTATTATGTTGACAGGTAATCAATATAAAGTTATTAATGAAACAGTTTGCATTCTTTTTCTCTGTGTGTCTCTTTCACACCGACAACACAGCAGGATGGGGACTGGCTCTGGTTCCAGTGCTCAGTAGCCACCTGTGCTAGTGATTCCTGCCTTGGGCCTGCAGGCCTGGGAGGGTGCGCCCCCACCCTATTCCCATTGGCCCGTACTGAGAGATGGGAAACTGAGAGGCCGTGTGAACCAGGGCTTCCCATTTCTTCAAACTCTCCTTCCTCTGTATCCTTTGAATTTTTCACACCAGGCATGTATTTTATATTAACTTTGCCGTTCTTTCTAAAAGCTCTTACAAGTGGGAGGGAAATGACCTCCCAGAGTGATTGCGAGGAAGGAGTGAGGTCCTGTGAAAAGCACTTGTAGGTGACAGAGCACTATACAAACACGCTGATTTATTTATGCCCCTCCTCCCGCCAGGAGTAACAAAAGTTTAAAGCAAAAGTAAAAAGAGAAAGTAAAACAAAGGCGAGGCCTCCAGTGAGGCTGGAATGAGGCAGGGCTACCACCCCCTCACCTGGCTACCCGGCTACCTGCTGCCCACAGGCAGCGGGGGCCTCGGACGGGCCCAGGACCTTCCAGCAGCCTCCTGCACAGATATCAGCTGTCCCAGGCCCTCCGAGCTACTGCCCCTCTGCCCTGCTTTCCCTCTTCCTCCCTTGATTTCCAAGGCTCCATTCGGCCAGACCGAGCTCCCCACACCTCGTTCCTTCTCGCCCCTGGCTTTTGCTGGTGCCGTTCCCTCACACTCCCCACCCCTGTGCTCCCCACCTGCCTCTTCTCCCCATCTGGACCCCTCCCCTCCAGCTCAAGCTCACCAGCCCCAGACAGCCTTGTGCCTCCAAAATCTCCCTCCGATGCCATCCCATCAAACTCAGTAACTTTTGATTAAATGTTGCCACATGCGGTTTTCCCCAGTCACGTGAATATTTTCTGAGGACCAGCTTTGTACCGGGCACTGTGGGAAGCTCAGTCTCGCCAAAGATGGCATCTTACTTGGCTCTCAAGGAGCTTCTGGGGGAGTGGGACCCATTCACTCCGGGGGCCGATTCCCTGGGGTCTGGCCTAAGTTCCTCCCCACCCCCTTCGCTCAAACCACTCATGGGGAGCTGAGGCCTCACCCCAGGCCCCTGCTCCTTCAGTGCCCATCTGCTTCCTTCCTTCCTTGGGACCCCAAGAGCCTAAGTCTCCTTCCCAGCTCCGCCCAGACAGGGGCAGAAGCTCCTCTGAATCCCGAGGATTGAAGACTGGGGTGGCACCTGTCTCCCAGTCCTTGTCGCAAATATAGACAAGAAGGGAAGGCGGGGCATTGTTCCCTCTCTCAGGACCCAGCTGTGCAGACAGTGCTGCAGGCCTCCTGCAGGGCACCCAAGTGGAGCAGTTGAGCTGGCAGTGCCCCAGATCTGGTGGGAATGGGGCCAGAACAGCAAGCTTCCCATTACATCCCACCCAGGCCTTTGGATTCTTCCACATTAAAGGTCGTTAGACCTCTAATTACAATAAGAAGAGCTAATATGTATGAGGCTCTGCTCTGCACCACGGCGCTCTATGTGCCCCTCGTGGTCCTCACTGCAGCCTCATGAGCTAGGTGTTATTTTTATTTCCATTTCACAGGTAAGAAACCCAACTTTTCTCCCCACAGTGGGGACGGGTGGGGATTATTAAACCACAACTGAAGGCAGAAGGGGGGATGAGCAGGGATGGCGAGGACTTCCAGAAATACTCCCTTTCCCTTCCCGCTCCTTGTTGTTCCCCAGGTCTCTTCTCTTCCACTTCTAGCAGAGGTGAAGTTGGCAGAGAAAGAAACAAAAATAAACTACAAATAAATAGAAGGAACTGAAGGCACGTCCTGGGTTCCACAGTGAAGGACACCCCCAACCCTGCCAGCCGAGGTACCAGTGGCAGGGGATGGGGCAGCCAATGTGGAGGAAAGGAGTGCCTCTGCTCTGATTTTACAGCAACTGCCTTCCAGAGGCATCCAAAGACCAAGTTCAAAACCTCTCCGCCCCGTAATGTGGCACAGCAGGGTCCCCTTGCCCAGCCTCCCAACCTGGAGCAGTTGATGTGTACTGCTCCCCAAAGTCCCCTGGGCTTCTCACCTGGACCCCGTCCACTGCCTGGCCGGGAGCAGGTGAACTCCGCCCCCAGCTCAGCCCATTCTCCCGGCCCACAGCTCTCTCCAGGCTGCCTCGGCCCCACTCCACCCTCCCTGTTGCCCCAGGAGGGTCCTGAATGGACAGCATGGCAACCAGCTCGATGTCCACTGGAGCTTCCCAGCACCACGCCGCACGTCTTATTACCCTCACCTCCAGTGTGTCTTGCCCCAGACCCCAGGTCCCCAAGATGAAAGTCCTTTGGAATGCTTCTGCCATTGACTGTCCCTAAGGAGTCACCTCCTCTAGCACAAAGGTCCAGGCTCCTGCTGCAAAGCTCTGCTCATCTCCTTTGAGGAAACTCTCAACCCGTACCCCACGTCACTGGTTCTCACCATGCCCGCTCAACCCTGATCGATCTCCAGGTATTGAAGGACATAAAAAGTACCCAGATGATGAGTCCAAACCTCAGTCATGGGCGGCACTCATCAGCACAGCATTCACGTCCGCAGTGCATAGAATCACCCCCCTGGTCCTCACGCCCACTGGGCAGTGGCCATCTCCCACCCCCTTCTTCCTCTCCTCCTCCAGCAGAGGGTCTCCACTCTCTGGCTGGCTTGGCTGAGGTGGCCTGACTCCTCCCAAGAGCCCTAGGAGGCCCCATCACAACGCCCACCCCAACCCCAGCTGCCCCAGGAGCGTGCTCACCTCACCATGCAGGCGCTCCCAGAAGCTGCTAGAGTATCTGGGAACAGTAGTTTCTTCCCTGAGAAAAAGAGAGGTCGGCCAGACCCTGCTGCGGAGCCAGCAGACAAGTGCGGAGGGCGGGGAATCGGGCAGGAGTGGCGCAGTGCTTCCCGGCAGAGTCCTGCCTCCCAGCCGCCCTCCCCCGGAGTGGGGGAGCCTGCCCCTGTCTGTTGGCAAAGTTCAGCCAAGGTCAGGGAGTAGCCGAAGATCCCAGAACTTGTCAGCATAGGTCTGGAAGGGAGGGGACAACCTGGTTACAGGTACAGCCCCTGGGTACAGGAGAACGCCCTCCCTACAGTGCCCTCTGCTGGTGAGCGGCCCTCCTGAGCCAGAGGCTGTTGAAATGGCAGAGGGTGAGAGGAGGGAACATCAACCAGAGCCCCTCAAACTATAATGTGCACCTGAACCACCTAGGGATCTTGTTAAAATTCCGGTTCTGGTCCCATAGGTTGGGGGTGGGGCCCGAGATTCTGCATCTCTAAGGAGCTCCCAGGTGCTGCCAGCCTGATGACAGGCACAGAGATGACAGGGAGGCACTGAGAGGTTAATGAATCGCAATTTGCTGGTGGCATTGAGGTGTACCCTTATCTGCTCCCTACCCAGTGCTCTTCCTACTTCCCACACTCCAAGCTGGCAGGGACATGGGGGGAGGGGGGAAAGAGCTGAACTTCAGTCTGTTTTCCAGCCTGAGTCCTTAGAAACTCCATCTAGTAAAGATGGTACCACTGGATGAAAGGTCCCTGTGAACAAGGATGGTTTTTAGCTGTTTGCTGCTGTATCTTCAGCTCCTGGTACAGCTTGACCCATAGTAGGTGCTCCACAAACACTTGTTGACTGAATGAGTGGACCAACTAAGAAAAAAGATGCATTTTGGATGCAGACTGCCAACACTGAACCCAGGTGACCCACCTGCCAGCCAAGTCATCTTAGGTGAGTATTGCAACCTCTCTGAGTCTCACTTCCCTGTCTGTCAAATGCAAATGTCTTCCTTGCGAGGGATAATTATTGGCATTATTGAGCTAATAAATATAAAGTGCTCAACACAAAACAGGTGCTCAGTAAGTGGTAACTGTTATCTCCACGGTCTGGCCTCCTGCGGTTGAGGAACCATGGTGAACTCCCCCAGGCCCCCAGGCATTATCTCCCCTAAAAAATAAGTAACTGCAGCTGCTTTCATCTCCGTTAATGATTCTCTAGCCTCTTTTCCCTGACTGTACCCCACCCCTCTGCTGCCTTCCCGGGGGTGGAGGCAAGAGGGATGAACAGCTCCCAGGGTCCCCAAAGGGAGAGGTGGGCAAAGGAACAGTGGAGAGCAGCCAACCTGGGAGGGGACCTCATACCTAAAGCACGAGCAAAGGACAGTGCCCAGAATTTTGATGGAGTTGGAGAGGGGAGATCTCAGTCTTTCCTGGGAAAAGCTCTGTCTGAGTCACACGGAAGGCTGTCTTATCCTCTGAGCCATAAAGTTCTAGGGGTTTGTGAAAGATCTGTCAATCTTGAGGCCTAACCCAGGAAAGGCCCTGTCGACTAGCAGGCTACAACCAGGGCTATGTCCATGTATCATGAACTCATTTCCCAAGCTGGTGCTTGGGGTCAATCCCAGTTACAGGAATGTTCTAGAGAAATCCGAGGGTCCCTCCCAGCCCTGTGGACACATCACAGGTTGCAGAGACCTAAGCAATGAGTAGCCTTGCAGCCTGGGGCTGAGCTGTCTCAGGAGATCAGGGTCTCACAGAGCCAAAGCTTCAACCATCCATCAAGAGGCCCCACCAGAGGCCACAACTAGCAGACCAGGGGACTCCAGTCTGAGAGAGTCCTTCAAGGCCATGCAGGCAACAACCCGGGCTCCTCAGCCAATACCACCACCCCTGTCACTGGAGAAAGGCGGGCCAGCTGGGAGCCCCACCCACCCTTTCCCCTCCCCACCCTCCTCTGCCTTTCCCGCGGC